AAATCTAGGTGGAGGTAGTCATACTCCCATAGCTCTTGTACTTGGTATACCTGCAGGACTAGTACCAAGTGGCCACCACCATTGTTGTCCACTTGTGTCCTCTGAAGAGTGGTTCAAGTTATACCTAGGCCCACCTGAGCCACAGCAGGAATTGAGCATTGTACTGGAAAGTAAGGACCAGATCACTGAAATTGTTCTGATCCATGGCTCTGGCATTCTGGTCATGTGATGATGCTTCTTTCTGCCCATACCGATCTCCTTATGGGCATACACTTGGCCTTCTCTCCTAAATAGCCTCTCTGTCTGTTTCTTCCTTCTTTTCCTTCCTTTAATAAATGAAAATCTTCCAAATCTTCGTTTTGCTTCTTTTGACAGTAAATTCCATCTTTAAATCATTTCTTGTATTTTATTTTGAGCAACATGAGAATCCATGCTAAACCCTTAGTACTGCGCAAGTATTTCTTCTGCTAAATATACTGGTTACTCAGGAGCTTTACCCTCCACAAAATACTAGGTCATAAATATAATTAATTTGAGTTCTTTGCCACTTTATTTTTTTGTACCAGGGATTGAACTCATGACCCTTATGCTTTCCAGGCAGGTGCTATCCCACTGAGCTATATCCCGGCTCATTGCTATTTTAGAAAGATCATCTTTTGTCCAGTTGCCAGTAATGTGTTCCTTATTCCTTTTAGAGACCTCATCATAATGGATTTTATCACCCATATTTCTAGGAACATTCTGATCAGGACCATTTAGCTAATCTTAGAGAAGACTAGAATTTCTATACAGCTTTCCTATTCCTCACCACAATATGGAACATTATGGCAATATTGGCTTCTTCTTTCATGCAGTTGGAAATCTGCCAGCTCTAGTTATTACTCAGTTACCAAACTGCTTCTGCATTTTCATGTATTTGCATGGCAACACTCATATCTAGGACAAAAACCCATAGCAGTCATAGTTCCACCAAGAATGAGAAGTTGACAGACAAAATGATTTACTGTGGAAACTGGCTGATGTAATTATAGAAACAGCTGTTGGTGCAGGTCAGTCTAAGACTGAAGTCCTGAGAAGCAAGAAAGTTGATGATATAACCCTTTCTGAGTCAAAAGGCCTGAGAAACTGAGTGGGTACCAGAGCAATTCCTGGAGTGTAAAGGTTATAGAACCTTTAGTGCTGATGGTCAGTCAGAAGAGGATGGATGTCCCAGCTCTAAAGAGAGCAAATTCATCTTCCTTCATCTTCTTTGTTCAATTTAGGTCCTCAACAGATTAGATTGTGCCAATCCATATTAAGTGAGGGTAAACCTTTCTTACTCAGTCCACTCATTCAAATTTCATTCTCTTCTTGAAACATGTTGACAGATACACCAGGAAAAAGTACTGAGTCAGCCATCTCAGTATCCACATGCTAGGTACCTGGTATCAACAAGATATCAAGTTGACATCTCAAATTTAACCATCAAAAAGCCTAAACTGTGTTTTTAGGATTATCCTCCTTCTAGCAGCTCTATGGAAGAATTTTCTTCCTTCCCTTATTCAGCTCCTAGAGGATAATTACATGTCTATAGCTACAACTTCTGCTTCTGTTTTATCTTCTCTGACTCCTTCATGCTTCCTCTTATGAGACCTTTGTGATTATACTGGTCACACTCAGATAATGTAGGATAATCTTCCCAGCTCACGATATCTAATTTAATTAAACTTGCAGTCTTTGCTGCCACGAAAGGTAACATATTCACAAGTTCTGAGGATGAGAATGGATATCTTAGGGACAGTCATTATATTCTATCGCTTCTTAAGCAGAGAAGACAAGTAGATAAATCCATTTCCCCCCACCCCACCACACCTTTTTGAGACATGGTCTCACCACATAGTTACACAGGAACCTTGAGCTCGCTTATGTAGCCTAGGCTGGCCTCAAACACACTTCAGCCTCCCAAGTGCTGGGGGTGTGTAACACTACGCCTGGCTTTTGCTTCTTTGTGTGAATGTGTTTCAGAAGCCATATAAGCTCATGAGGTAATCCACAAATCAAAGTTACACACTGAAAATGGCACAATTATAGAACTCTGTGTTCTTCATAGTCTTGGAGCTACTATAGCAGTAAAGGGTATCATTTTCAGGAGTTTTTTTTTACATGAAAAAATAAATTATCATGCTTAAGCCACTCTTCAGAGTAATTTCACTTGTAGCCAAAATAATCTGGATAGAGGAATCATCACTACGGTTAGTATGGTAGATTCCATACTGAAATATCCTGATGAATTCTAAATATATATATAGTGTAAGTCTTTAGGTTGTCTCTGGAAAAGTAGGAAAATGTATTATATGAATTCTCTACATGATTCCAATTGTCTTGACTTCCTCCATCGCCAGTTTCTTTCCACAGATGTACTGTACATCACAAAATTCTATATTGCTATTAAAACCTACACACCCTTGTGAGAAAAAGAAAAAGAGAGGTAAGGGCAGGATTTTAACTGAGGCTGGGCATTGAGGAAAATTGGGTTTTGTTAGGTTAGGATCATACAGACCAATAAAACATGGTCATGGGTCAATGACAGTAGCTTCCTGAAATACTGTTAAAAAGGATTGAATCTATGACTATGGTCAATAGGAAGAAAGCACTGAAATGGACTTGCAGTGTCCAATGCAGTTAAGGAAGAAGAGTGACCACATGGGCTGTGCATAGGCCATTCCTCACCCTGAGTCTGGCTCTTTACTGTTAGAGTCAGATATCAAGTTTGCCAGTATATTAAAAGTCATTTGCTCTCTCAAGGGTGGACTTATGCCAACTGAATTCTCAAAACAATAAGTCAGAAGGCCAGTTCATTGATCTAAATTAGAAATAAAATTATAAATGAATACTTGTTATGTAGCAGGAACCTGCATGGTGAAATAAAGAAACATAGTTCGTGGAGTCCAGCAGGTCTAGCTTCACACCAGAAATACATTCCTCAATTGGTACTTACCATATCAGAGCCGAGTGGATAAGGACATTGATACTGTATGGGATTAGAAGGAACAAAAAAATGTCCTGATTGGTTTGATCTCCAGTACCACACACACACACACACACACACACACAAATCCTGATTACCTATGTCTAAAATGGGGGAAGTGGCTATTATTGGTAAGAATTGTTATATGTGCTAGTTTTTGCCAATCAGTACATTGTCTCTAACAGGAAAGTTTGTTTCTTTAGAATTGAAAAACTGCTTTGTGACTATATGGGTGTAAACGATGTTTGCTAAATAATTTTTAGGTATGTATTTTTTATATTTTTGAACTACTTTCATAATATAAATAGAAATGAAACAGGAGTTAAGATGGGTGGTGTGAGATTATCCTGCATTATCTTAGTGTGATCAATATAATCACAAAGGTCTCATAAGAGGGAAGCATGAAAGAGTCAGAGAAGATACGAAGACAGAAGTTGTAGCTATAGACATGTAAGTACCCTCTAGGAGCTGAATAAGGGAAGAAAACAAAACCAGTCTTGCTCAGACCAAAAAAATGGCCAATTTTTTTTTCTTGTCCACCCTCCATGGCTTATAGACCAGTTACATAGAAATATAATGTAGGTCACAATTGTGATACATAGGTTATTTTAAATAGTCTAGTAGCCACATAAAATATGAATGAAAAGAGATGTTTTTAGAAAAAGTTTATCATAGTTTTGTCATCCACAGTACACTGTCTCATGTATTCTCACTGACAAGAGGTAATGTATATTTTGCTTCTAGTTTCAGCTCTTCATAGGTAAGAATTGGTATCTCAGAGAGGATAGTAGAAGCCTTAAATCTCAATGGTCTGCATAAGCACTACTCTGTCAGGCCCTCAGCCAAACTTAACTATTTTCCACCTTGGATCCTTTCAAAATTTCTCTTCTAATTAGCATTTTAAAAGCTTGGCTTAAAAGACTTTTTTTTCTTTAAACTGCATTTATGCCACTTTTACTACTTTTCTCTAAACCAGTGATTCTCAAACTTGACCAAGTACCAGCATCACCTAAAGAGCTCATGAAAACACAGCTCATGCCAGATAAAGCAGTACATACCTATAATCCCAACTATTTGGGAGACTGAGATGGGAGGATCACAAGTTTGAGGTCAGCCTGAGGAACTTGGGTGAGACCTTGTCTCAAAATTAGAAAGTTAAAAGTAGAGGAGGCCTAGAGATATAGTTCAGTGGTAGAGCACTCCTTGGGTCCAATCCTCAGTAGGGAAAGGAGAAGCGGGGAAGAAAGATAAGAAAAGTCACTGGCTACTGACCCACTTCCAGAGTGGCAAATTCAATATGGTTGGAGTAGAACCCAATCATCTACAAACCACTTCCCAGTAGATAGTGATGTTGCTGATTTAGAGACCATATTTTGAGGATCACAGATATACATATTAATCATTCTAGTATAGAGAGGATGGATATTTGAAAATGAAAAAAGTTTGTAGACTAAAAGGCATTAGATTATAGCTTTCTTCCAAAATAAGCCAAACTCAATTCTGTTATTATTCCTCCAAAAAATTTCCAAAATTTTTCTTTCTACCACCTGCTAAGCGTAAGGAACCAGGCCCTCCCTCCGTACTTTCAAAGTTCTTGATGAGAGTTCTTAAGGTTATATTAATACATTTTGCACTGTAATAACAAAACACATGAGGCTGAATACTTAATGAAGAAAATAGGTTAATTTGATTCATAGTTTGAGAAGTCCAAGAGCATGGCATTAGAGTGACCCTTGGCTGTGTCACAACATGGTAGAGAAGTAGAAAACAAATCAGCTGCATGTACTAGGGGACCAACCTTTGAGGGACACACTCAAACCATATTCAAAGCACAGCGATGGTATTAAAAGCATTTTAGTTGTGTATGGCAAAGGCTGGTGATCTTCTCAGCAGGAGTAACCTGTCCCTAATTCCAGAAGCTCTCATAGTAGTCACCCAAAAAAAAAAGTGTTGAATGAATGATACATGTTCAGAAGAGAAGAGACCATGCACATGGTAGTTAAAACTTTTAATAAAGGTTAGAGACAACAATAACACTGAAAATTGTTTAAAAAGAAAAATAAAGCAAACAGCAAAAATGTTTTGCCCTCTGAGAACTTCTTAAAATTTTAAAATCACATGGTGTTACTCACACAGTTTTATAAACATTCATTGTGATTTTATGGATAGGACTTTTGATGACAGACATGGTTACTTGGAATGATGGACCTAAGGTATGATAACATGAAAAAGAGGATTCACTGCCTCAGTGGCCTTCCCTATTTTAACCTTTTATTGTAAAAAAACTTTAAATGGAATCAAAAGGGATAACAGAATAAACCATGAACCAATCACTCAGATTCATTAATTATCGACTCTTGTGGCCAATTTTATTTTACTTATAATTTTACCCAGTTCACCAATCTAATTATTTTGAGGCAACTCTCAATATCATTTCACCCACAAAAATTTCAGTACTTGTATGTAATACTCTTTTAAAAACACGATCACACTATCATTAGTCTAGCTAAACAATAATTCCTCAATATCATCAAATATCTAACAAGTGTTGAAACTTTCTCATTGTTCCATAAACATTTTTTAGTTAGTTTATTCAAATTAAAATACAAATAGTATCATAGAGCATAACTGGTTCATGTGCCTTTTTAAGTTCTTCCTTAAAATAACTTAAGTTTCTATTCTATTCCTTTTCATTTTAAGTTTTATTTGTGGAGAAAAACAGGATGTTTGTTTTATAGTTTCCTAAGATTATATTCCTGTGTTATTATTTATCTACTCTTTCTTTCTCACTGTAGGTAGTAATTTCTTTTTAAAATTTAATCTTTTTTTTTTTTTTTTTTTTTTTTTTTTTTGCGGTAGCAGGGATCAAACTCACGACCTCACACTTGCTAGACAGGCACTCATGCCACTGAGCTAAATCCTCAGCTCCTAAAATTTAATCTTTTTATTAAAGAAAAAAGTTAAATAATAGCATAGCACACCACACATATTTTTTCAGCCTTTTTGTTTTTCATTCAACCTTAAAACTGGTGGTTACTCAATGGTAGTTTATGGAACATTCCTCATCCCTGTTTTTTGCTCACATAATACTTCATCATGTGGATGTTTCAAAGTTTATTCATCCAGTCTCCTACAAATAGACACTGAATTGTTTGAACTTTGTTGCTACTATAAGCAGTGTTGCAATATGTCTCTGTATTTTTGCCAGGATATCTTTGGGGTAGATTCCTAGAAAGGAAACTAATGGAACAAAGGATAACTGCTTCTGTAATTCTGCCATTTTAAATGTAGTGTGTTTCTGGAAGATTTGTTAGAAAAGAGATGACAAGACAGATCCTATATTGCTATACTGCAAGTCACCCCCAAAAATAGTGGCTTAAATTTTTTTAAAAAAATTGTTGTTTCTTAGATTTGCACACTTTAGGACATCTTAGGCATGTCTTGCTTCTGCTATATACGGTTGGTTGGAGCATGCTGATTGGAGCTAGAGAATACAAGATGTCTTTATTCACCTGTCATACTTCACCTGCAGTAGATGGAGTAATTGGGTATTGACTGGGCTGTTCTCTCTCTGCCTGTAATTTATATGATCTACAGATCCAAGCTTCTTACATATAGTACTTAGAAAATATATCTATCAATAGCTATTGCATTCATTGTCTTTTTGTTTACTTAAGAACACTGCTTGGGTTCAGAGAGTATAGTGATAAAAACAACAAACAAGATCCTAGCTCTTGTGGTAATTACATTCCATATGGGGAATTTAGGACGTAATAAGAGATAGAAATATATATCAGGGAGGAAGTTACAACATTGCTAAAAAGTGGGGATGGTGCTTGCTTTGGCAGCATACATACTAAAATTGGAATGATACAGAGAAGATTAGCATGGCCCCTGCTCAAGGATGACATGCCAATTTGTTCCATGTTTTTCTCTAAAGGATATAACTGCATGTATGTTTAAGTATGTAGGATCGATAACCATATTACTAAGTTTTTGTTGCATAGTTGAACAGAACTGTTTGCAGTCTTGCTGTTTGAATATCCACTTTGTATATTTTACTTTTGTAACTTGAACAACTGTTTCTAAGACAATATGTAATTTATCAACTAGTGATCTCTTACTGTTTATTTTTTGAAATTATATATTATTTCTATCCTTTTTTTCTTTAAATAAAATTTTTTTAAAAAGTGGGGATGTTAAGCAATTGTGAATAGCTAGAACCAACCAGAGAGACTGAAAAGACAAACACAACTTTGTATAAGGAGAGGAAAAAAATATTAAAGAGTTTCTGCACAGCTTAAATAACTGTAACACTGGAAGGAATACCTGCAGAATACACATGCTACTGAAAAATTGAGGGGTTTGGAGACAGATTAAGGAGTTTGAAGAAAGAGGGATCACTATGGCTTAGAGAAGTCAGGGTAGACTAGAATGGAAGAGAGAGAGGGGCATGTTGGGACCATGGCCTTTTCATTGTGTCTGATAATACTGGCAGGTGCTACTGCTTGATTAGTGCTTCTCACCAAAATGGCCTCCCATTACTTTTGAGAGGAAGACATAGTGGCATTTTGAAACCAACAAATTTAGCAGGTCATGGTGGTGCATGCCTGTAATCCCAGCACTCCAGAGGCTGAGGCAGGATTGCCTCATGTCTGAGGCCAGCCTGGGATACATAATGAGTTCAAGGACAATCTATACTACAGAACAAGACCCAGGTTCAAAAATCAACAAACAAACTCTACAAAACACGAAACAAAAAAACCAAAACAACCCTCCTCACAAAAACTAACTTATCTGAAAAGTAATGCTGTTTCATATAAAATATTATACTATTTGAAGCCAAAAACTAAAGCCCTATGACATATGCTCAAGGCACGTGTATCTACACATTCTCCCTTGTAATCTTAGTTATAGCTTTACACCGAATCGAAATGTTAATTACTCACTAGAGTATCTTCACCTCAGACATCTTGCTATATGATAAGTCAACTATGTAATCTATGTATCTACTTTGATTTCTAATAGGCACTGTATGTTTCCTATGACCAAAACTAAATTCTTGAATTTTCCCTAGAAAAATCTCTATTTTTCTCCACTTCCCTATCATTTAGTAGCACCACTACCACCAAGATACTTAGGCCAAACCACTGAAGTCTTTTTGACTCTTTTCTTATCTTCACATACACAACCAGCCAACCAGCCAGTCTCTAGATTATAAATGGTATTCTGTCTTTAGACTGTATTTCAATTTTCAGTATTTCTTTCCCTGTACTATGCCACTATTGCCTCTCTCCTGAGTGATCTATTGCTTCCCCTCCTATTGTCTTCAGTCTATTTTCTATACAACTATTAGTGTAAACTTCTAAAAAAAAATAGGTTTGTAACTCTGCAGATTAAACCTCCAGTGGTTTATCTTGGCTTATAAGGCCTCACACTGTTTTAGCTTCTGTTCTTGCTCTGGCCTCTCCCTATGTTATACTTTCTTGCCCTTACAACTCTTCAGCTACATTGGCTTTCTTAATATTTTTTTAAAATGCAAAATGTGCTGTTACCTTGAAATTTACACTGTTCTTCCTCCCAATGCTCCTTTTCCAGATTTTTGGGTAGAAACTCTTTTTTTTTGTTTTTTAAGTTCTGGTTGTGCTTGTGTCTTAAAGAACTTTCCTGATAACTTCATCTAAAGGAGCCAATGGTTGCTAGCCAAGCCCTCAAGGTACACTGATAAATATAATAACAGACAAGATTCTACCTCTTGTGGTACTTATATTCTAAATGAGAAACTCAGAACACAGTAAAAGATAGTTGTTACTATTTCATATTCTTCATACCACTGACCATACTCTAAAAACATTTTACTTCTTTTTCCATTGGCCAATGGTTGTGTTTTGATTCTAAACATATATGGCATAGTGTGATAGTTTACAAAGAAAATAACACATACAAAACACTATGCATAAATTTCTTAGAGGATTGGGACTAGAATTCATAAGAGATCATTTAAAGCAGAAAAAAAAAAACCCAAAATATTTCTGCCCAGAGAATGATGCAAAAAAAAAAAAAAAAACCAAAACCTGTGGGCCATGCTGACAGGTGAACAGGCAGGTACTACATCCCAAAGATCTGCTATGATAACAGGAAAATGAAAAAAGATGTCAACTGCACCCTACAAGAAAGGACAGCAAAACAAAACATATGTGCTCTCAGTGTAAGTAATACTTGTGTATGGAACATATAAATTTCATGTGTGAAGACTGCCTTGAGTGTGACAACTGAAGCAAAGGATTATTTCTCTTATAGAGTTCCATTGGTATTTTTACTGTAATAAGCTTTTATTTCTAATGTCATCTTTTAGGTTTTGTAAGAACACAGCTGATATGAAAATGTTGTCTATTCTAGGCACTCAACACACACCTGATATTTTATTTTATTGATATCCACTCTTCATTCTCAACTGATATTTTCACTTAGTGATCACTGGGAAAAAAATAAGATTAAGCAAAAAGAAAGTGACCAATATCTTTTCTAAAAACCTGTCTTCCTCAATGCCTACCCTCCACCCCTTAAAACAAGTAAGATATCCATGGTCTTATGGAAGGCTGAACTCTCTATTGAGAGACAATTCTTCATGGGTCTTAGACATTTCCTCTGTTCAAGATTATATTATTGAGAATGTTTGTATAGTGAACAACCTTAGAAAATAGTGTATCCTTCTGGAACAAGCAGCAGGAATATTCACTGTATCTCTAGAACAAAGAATAAGCATATTTATTGACCAATATAAAAGAATCAGGGCTGGATGTGGCAGCTTCCACCTGTAAGCTCAGTATTCTAGGAAGCTAAAGAGAAAGATTAAAAATTCAAGCCCAGCCAGGTAAGTCTAGTGACTTATCAAAACCCTATCTCAAAATAAAAAATAAAAAAGGCCCAGGGGGTGGCTCAGTGCAAAGGCCCCGGGTTCAATTCTCACATCAAAAGAAACAAATAAGCAATACACACAAAAAAAACGAGAAAACAATTCAGGTTCCCTAAACTCAGAGCTTCTTATTTGTGCACATACAGTGCAGGTATTACCTGGCCCTCTTTACAGTGCTCTGTGGGAACTGGGGTTCAGGAAACCAGTATTGTGAGAAACTAAATCCTTTGTCTCTGAATATGCCATGTGCTGAACATGCATGAAATTGTGGGAGGCTAACTTGGTAAGCTTGCAAGTAGGTTAAAAATCCCAGATTCTTGATATATATTACTTCTGAAATGCACCTTATTTCCTCTCACCTTCTCAAAGACTGCTTCTATAGTACCTGCTCACTTTTTTTTTAAAACTAGAGCGTATCAGTCAGACAGAAAGCAGGTTTCATTCTGGCACATTCATAATAATGTATAACGTACCTCCATTGTTTCCCCTTACTTCCCTTCACTCTCACTCCCCTGCCTCTTCTCTTCCACTTTTATAACATAGCTCTTGAAATTTTTTTACTTGATTAGTTTATTTCATATGTATATGTTTGCCTTGCATTTCTATATGATTACCACTATTACCATATCCTATTCTAACATTCCATATATAATTTTTTTTTGTTTGTTTTACCAATTTTCCACTTTTAACTTTCAATTACTGAACCTACATGATATAATCACCCCTCCCCGCCATTTTTGGCACTCAGGATCAAACTCATGACCTTGTACTTACTAAGCAAGTGCTTGAGCCACTGAGCTAAATCCTCAGCCCAATTTCTCCCATTTTAAAAGATAAAACCAATTTCCTTCAGGCTGCTCATCTGCCATCTATCTACTGCCCCATTTTTCTGCTGTCCTTTTATTTTTATTTTATTTATTTATTTATTTTGGTTTTTGAGACTGGGTCTTGTTATGTAGCTCAGTTTGGCCTTGAATTCACTATCAACACAATCAAACTCAAGATGATTTTCCTGCCTCAGCCTCCTGGGTGTTGGGATTATAGGTGTGAACCACTATGCCCAGCATCTCTGCTGTCTTTTTAATTAGGACTTCTTGGAAGAGTTGTCTGGGTTTTTTTTTTTTTCTCCACTTCTTTACTTTCAATTCTATCCTAACTTGTTCCACTTAGATTTCCTAAAATCCTCTTCAGGGTTATTGGTAAACTTCACATGGTCCACTTTGGTCTCCCACTGAGGTCCTCCAGCTTCAACCTTCCTTCCCAATGCTAGGATTAAAGGCATGTGCCACCACGTCATTCATTTTAAACATGAACTCTGAATGGAAGCTATTGTCACTTCTAAGACATGGTAGTAGTGATTGCTTGAGGCATGAGCACATGGGGCTAAACCAACCAACAAGTCATTACTTTAGGTTTGTTAGGAATGCCAGCTCTTTCATGATTGTGGAACATTTAATGTGTAACCAGAATAAAAATACCATGAAGAAAAAAAGAGGTAAAAGAGGAGAAAAAATTAGGTATCATTCAAGTACCTGCCCTATTTGGATTCCATGATGTGGGATACTTGCTATTACATATTCCTTCAATATTTGAGTATCTTATAATAAGCAGAAATAATCTCCTTTTAGACTATTTCATTTTACTATTCAATTGTATATTTTTATTCCTTTTTTGAGAAAAACTGTTACCTTCTCACTATCTGTGGAAATACAGTTGTTATAATACTAATACTCAATTTGAATGGTCCTTCAGAGTTCCCACAGCTTTTCCTATCATCATTTTGTTGGTTATGTGAGATGAACAGACCAGGCAATGTCAGGCTCTATTTTTACAAATGGTAAAACTGAGACTCAGGCTATATGGTATTCAGGGTAGAATGAAAACTCAAGCAGGTCTAAAGCATCCTGTCAGGATAGCTCTCAGGCTACTGTAACACGATACACTATGGAACATTTTCAGTCATTAATAAAAATTTCAGAAGAAATTTCATTAGTTCAAGCAATGAACTAATGAACAATTTCATTAGTTCAAACACAATGCCTATTAAAATGCACATTTGGCCCATTACTTAAATTATAGTTTCAAAAGCATTTGCATGCTTCCAAGAGTCAATCTTTGCCATGTTCCAGATCAAGTTCCTGTTAGGCTTTCAAATTCTAGAATTTTAGGATTACTGGAGAAAGGGCGTGTTTGTGTGTGTGTTAATAAGAGGACCAACATTCAGTGTTTAACAAACATATGTATGAGTAAGTGTAAATTTTCATACTCCTTTACTAAGATAGAACTCTACTCAATATAGGCCATGGGAAATTATTTACAAAAGTGACTTGTAATCACAAAGTACTTTAGCACCAGCTGTGGTGGTAGGTGCCTTGTAATCCTGCGATTTGGATGCTGAGGCAGGAGGATTACCCCAGAGTCTGAAGCTAGCTTGGACTTCAGGAAGTTCAAAATCACTCTAGACTACACAGTGAGACCCTGTTTCAAAAAAAAAAAAAACAAAAACAAAAACAAAAAAGTACTTTGGCAATAGTTCCACAACACCTTTGTTTTGTAGAACTCAAATCTTCCACAAGATTAACACATTCACCTTCACTCAACTGATAAGGGCAGCCTGGATCACCAACAGAATACCCCTATTTTGCCCTCTGGAGCTGATGGAGAAAAAGTACTGTGTTAAGAATGCAAAGCAAGAGCCATCTGACTTTATTTTTAGGCTGATTGTTACATTGCAGCAAGGATAATTCCTCCATTTAAAGTAGAAAACATATCTGTTATGCAGAATGTAATTTTAGATAATTGTTAACAGAATTATGCCATGGGTATGTCAAAAATATTGGAACATCATAGGCTATTAGCAGTATTTTTGATCCTGTATTGTGATATTTTCATTTCTTTTTTAGGAGGTTAAAGGATTTTTTTTTAAGTGCAGCATTACAACAAACTGTCAGTCCTAGCAAGGGTCCTCATTTCTCCAGACTGCCATTAGGCTCAAATCGATCCTCTAAATAAAATCTGTCCCAAGAGATACAACTGATGTAGAGAAAATGGGAGTTTTAAAAACCAAGCCTGACGTCACAGGTTTGTGTTCCACCCATCTGTACCTTTTATTAACTAAGGGCTGGAGCCACCTCGGCGGACAGACACAGGCACACAATCTTCTCCCACACAAGCCTGGAATGGTAACAGTGTGCGGCTGCCTAAGAAAGAAAAGCAGATTCAGAGCTTAGGGGTGGTGTGGGGGTGTGTGTGGCAATGTGAGGGAGTCATTCTTTTTCTCCACCCAAGGATGCTATTTATTGGAAATCCTGCACTTTTTTTTTTTAAATCTCTCTCTCTCGAGTGGGAGGCAAAACCTTTCTGACACGAAAGAAAGGGGCGGAAAATGCAAGACTGGCTGGGCGGCTTTCGAAAGGCAGCATGCAGCTCTGCTTTGCACTGGGACTCCGGGTAGAGAAACACTGGGGCGGCGTCCACGACTTGTTGCGGTGCAAAGACGTCGCCCTTCTGCCCTTTCGTCCTGCAAGCATCACCCAGCACCCCAAGCTCTTACCCACCGACCCCCAGAGGGCAGCAGCCCCGCTCCTCTGACCACTGCTCCCGCAAATCTCTTGGCCTCTACTTCCACTCCAAACCCGAGGTGCGCTTTGCATTCTCCACGTGCCAGTTCGGATCAACCCTCTCCCTCCGCCACTCAGCAATAACACCTAGGCGCCCATCTCTCAACCCTTTCCAGATTTGATCTGCTTTCTCGACTCCCCTGGTTTACATGACCATCGGCACCCTACCTCCACGTGCAAATCCAGGCCTTAACCCCTACTCCCTTTCCTTTCCACACCTACAGCCTCGGGCTCCGCCCACCACGCCTGAAGCGCGCCCAGAAGCAAGGACACCTGGCCGCACCTCCCTCTTCTCCCGCTCCCCCACCCAGCACACCACAGCTCCGCGCCCACCCTGCGCCTCTTCCTCCTCCCCACCCCCTCCCTCCGCGGGAGGGAGGGGGCGGGACACAGGCGAACTCCGCGGTGTAGCCAATGGGCGCTCGGCTTACTCTGGCCTCTCCCCCGCGCGACGGCCAATCGCGGCAGGCGGTGGTGGTAATATTGTGGAGTGGAGTTTGGATGCCGCCGCTGCCGCGGGCTGGAGCGGCTTACGGCTGGGCAGCTAGGGTATTTCGGGAAGGGGGCGTGAGGAGGCGGCGGCTGGGGCTGCGTGTGGAGGCAGCAGAGGAAAAGAGAAAGAAAGGAAGGAAGAGGGCGGGGAGTCCTCAGAGGAGGAGGCGGGACCGGCCGGGCTTCTCACCTCGCGGCGGCGGGCGGCGGTGCCGCCCCCTACCCGCGGTCTCTTCAGCGTGGCCGGCTGCTGGCCTGCCGGCATCGGGTAGTGGCTGGAGCTACTGGGGCGGCAGTAGCGGGCCCCGTGGCGGCGGAAAGCTGGAGTGGGCGCGGAGGCGGCCGCCATGGCGTTCCTCAAACTCCGCGACCAGGTATGTAAAGGCGGCCGGGCGGGATCGCCGGGGGAAGGAGGAGGAGGGTGGGCCGCCTGGGAGCCGCGCGGCGAAGTGGCTTTGAGCGAGGCGAAGGTCTTCGGCCAGGGGCGGGCTCGAAGCAGCGGGCCGGAGGCGTCGGCGACCCGCCTGTCAGGGCAGCCGGGGCAAAGAAGCCCACATGCTGCCCGGGATCTCGCCGCGGTGGCGAGAGGGGCGGGCTCCGTGCTGGCCGCCCTCGCGTCCGGTTGCCTGGTAGGCGTCTCCGCTTTCCTGCCAGGTGAGGCTCGGGCCTAACAGGTGGCTTTGCGCTTTGGGGCGGGAGCCGCGTTGGCTGCCGCGACCTGGGGTTGCGACCTTACTCTGTTTGCTTGGTGAATAACTCTAAACGTGTACTCTTCTAGAAGGAGAGGAAGGAAACCACAAACATGGTAGATTCTACGAGGATTTAGTTATTACTCAGTGTGCTAGTTCCCAAACTTGTTTTTCTTTTGACATTTTGGCACCATCTTGGAAGTGCCAAAAAGAGACTGATAGTGCCAAAAAGACTGATACCTTGGGACGGGGGTGGTGGTGTTGGAATGTGTTTAGGAATGAAATCGCTACTGTATCCGAATGATTCGTACACCTAGATCTTGAGAAGACGGGTAATAAAGTTTTCAGGAAATACAGCGTATGCTTTTAATATTTGGTCTTTCTTAGGGCAAAGGGAAATTAACGTGTGTAATTTCCCGAGTCGCTGGAATGTATTAGTGCTGAGAACTTTTGCTGTTTGTTTTTCTGAACAAAAGATACTGAAAAGATTTAAAGGTGTTAATTGCATACACTAAGAAATAATTCAGAAAGTGAGTACCTCTTTTACAAAGACAATGGGGGAAAACGATATAAATTTTATATTATCTCTTAATAAATGTCTTAAATCCCGATTTGAGTTACCATGGATTCTCATTTCAAAAGTGAATTTAATGTTTCAGCTGATGCCTGAATTTCCCTATCACTTGGCATCAGGAGAATTTTAGCTGGTGTTAACATTGAGGTATGATACTTGGAACCACTTGATTCGTTAATTTCATGTTCTTCATTTCAAACTACATATAGAACTTCACTGTTCAATGATAGCCCCTGCCATATATAGTGTCTTAAAATTAATTAAATAACTCAGTTCTTTAATTTCGCTGGTCATTTTTAAGGGCTCAGTAGCCACAGGTAAATGTTGGCCATTGTATTGAAGAAGACTGGTAAAAGAACACTTACATCGATTCTCAAAATTGTATTAGACAACATTGTTAACAAGAATTTATAGGTGAGCAATAAACTATATCTAATTACTGGACAGTTAGCACATATTATACTCCTGACAACATGACTCAAGATCTGGATTTTCCTCTAATGTTTGGCAATCTAATAATGCTCTGTGCTTGTGTTTTAGTTTTTAGGCCTACACTTTTTTTAAAAAGTTATTTTGGTGATTCACATTATTGTGTTCACTGGAAACTTGGTAGACCTTAGGAGCACACACGTTATTTACCCTTGAGTTTAAGCAGAAACAGGATTGTGTCTTCATTTGGAAATAAACCTTTGCACTTGAGTATTTAGGAACTGCAATTCTGAAGCAATTATGATTATCACTTGATAGTGATGTTATTGTTTAAAATATCACCTGTAAAGTTGAAAATATGTGGGCAAGTTGAAGAAATGGCATGGTTGGGGGAAAACTGTTGAGATTTATTTTTATAAAACATAAGGTAATTGGCCCATCTATTCCCTCTTTTGAAAGATTTTAAAAATGATTTTGTTTTACTTAGTTGAAAGGAAGCGACTTTTTTAGAAGTCATCTTATATATTGATATTTTATTAGCTGTTAGAAGTGATGGTAAAAATAAAATGGGATGCAAATACATAATTTTTCCCATCTGCCATAAAACCATTTTGGCTAGACAAATTAGTTTATTTGGGGGATGGGAGAAGGTCTGGATGAGTACACAGAATTTTAAAGCTGAAAGGTACTTGATGTAGCCTGTAACTCAAAAGCCCAGTGTATGTTGAGATAGGAAGTAGTAGAATCTGGTTTTCTAGGTTTGTTTCCATATCTACCTGTATTTTGTTTCCTTTTAGTTTTGCTAAATGTAGTTTAATGCATAGAAACTACAAATGGGGAAAGGTTTTCTTTGTGCATTTAAGCATTAGGAAGGTTCCAGGTGGTTTAAATATAAAATCAATGAGAAATTAAAGAAGCTTGTTCTCATCCATTCAATAATTTGAGTATTCTCTCATTTTGAGCCGATATGCAATTATGGGGATAAGAAGTAATTACTGTCCTACTGTAGTATTGTCAATGAGTAGATAAAAATAATTTTTAATAGTAAGTGAAAATTACTTTCCGTCTGTAGGAGTAGACATATGAATTTTTGTCCTTAAATATTTCACTTTGGTTTATATAACATCCACAGTTGGAAGGTTTTCCCCCAAGTGTCTCTGCCATAATTTTTATCATTTCAGTTAGTAAAAATTAGCCACATGTGATTCTATTCTATCAGCAGTACATCCTAATAAGAAAAGTAAAAGGTGTTTGTTTAATTAGGGCTCACACTGGGAAGCTAGGTGGCAACTGACACTTAAGTGTCAGAGTTTCAACAGAGTGAAGAGTGGTGGGGATGATAGCCATAGAATCAGTTATGTTCCTTGTTTCTCAGTTCTAGGCTCTTGTTATGCAGATGTTCCTAGTGTTTTCAGACTGACAGTTTTTTTTAGGAAACCAGAAATGCAGATTGTTATGCAATATATATTTGTAGCGAGGTGTGATGGCACAAGCATTTTAGTTCTAGCACTCTTGCAATCCCAGCCCTTGGGAGGCTAAGGGAGGAATATGGAGTTCTGGGCCAGGCTGAAGTAAATAGAGTCTGTCTCAAAAACAACAGCGCAGTCTACTTGTAAATGTTGGCAAGTTGATAACTACCAATGATAGTAATTGATGTGATTCTAAAAAGGAGCTAGAAGCTAGTAAGAAACTAGTTAGTTGCAATTTAGATCAATTGGAGGAAAACAACAAAATAGATCCCTATTAAAAACAGATTTCTTTATGATAAAATAGTCAGATGGTCATAAAGTTTTGTGTGTGATTTTCGGTTTTGTGTGTGTGTGTGTGTCCGTGTCCGTGTGTGTGTGTGTGTGTGTGTGTAAGCAGTTGACCAGTAAGTTATATTCTCAGCCCAGACAAACTTAAAATGATTAAGATTAAAATTTACATATCATAAAATTTACTATGTGTTGGCGGGGGAGTTCTGAGACAGGTTCTCACTGTATAGTTCATTTAGACTGGTCTCAAATTTATGATCATCTTGCCTTGGCCTCCTGAGGGCTAGGATTACAGGCGTGCTTTTCCACGTCTGGTGCAGAAGGGCCCCCTCTCTTGTCCCTTTGGTGGTACTGGAGATTGAACATTAGTCCTTCACACAGTTACATCCCTACCCGTCACCTCCTTTTTCTGTATTTTGATACATGATCGGGCCAAATTGCCCGGGCTGTCAAACTTTTTTTTTGTACCAGGAATAACACTTAGCACCTTGCAGTTGCCAGGCAGGTGTGTATGCCACTGAGCTATATCCCTGGCTCCAGGCTGTCAAACTTGGAATATTCTTGCCTCTGCCTCCCAGAGGACTGGGATTACAGGTGTGTACCATAACATCTGGCTAGAATTTACCCTGTTATACATTTAATGATTTTTAGACTAATCACAAAACTGCAGCCCATTGTTACTAATCTAGAACGTTTTCATCACCCCAAAAAGAAACCCCATGCTTTAGTTATTTTCCATATCCCCTCTTCCCAGCTGCTGACCAGTACTAATCTACTTTCTCTTAGTGAATTTGCTGATTTTAGACATTTCTAATGAATGAAATCATACACTATCTGGCATTTTTATCTGGTTTCCTTCATTTAGCATAATTCTTAGGATTTGCTCACTTCGTTTCAAGAAATTTTGGTCATAAACTCTGTAAGAGAGAAAGAAGGGGAGGAGGGAGGGAGGGAGAGAGAGAGAAAGAAGATAGGCAGATGACATGAGGCCTTAACCCAGGAAGTGCTGAGCTATACCCCTGTTGTGGTTTATGTCAGTGGCCCCCAAGCCTCATGCCTTTGCATTATGCATTTGTGATTGGTTCATTGTCTAGTGCTTGGATTGGGGGTGTGAGTGCTACAATGGCCTAGGGGTGGAGCCAGGATGTGATGTTATGGCAGAAAGAAGGCTTGTGTGTGTCTCTTTCTCTCTCTCTTGCGGATTCGCCTTGCTGTTTGCAGCTGCCATGAACTACGACCCCACCATGCCATCCTGCCTTGGAGCCAACTGAGTATGGACTGAAACCTGCGAAAACTAAGAAATTAACCTTTCCTTTCCCAACTTTGGACATCAGGTATTTTGTCTCAGCGACTAGTAAAGAGTAACTAAGACAACCCCTTTTTATTCTTTGACAGCCCTGCCTTTACCTCCCAGGTAGCTGGGATTACAGGCATATGCCACCACACCTGGGCAACTTTTTTTTTTAACCTCATGCATGCTAGGTTAACAGTGAGCAACACCTTCAGTTCTGTTCAAATAGTTGTCTCATGTATAAGAGTTCTTTGAAAAACAAGGTTTGTGTCCTTAAGCATTTCCATTCCACCTGTGAGGGAATAGTATTTACTTCTGTTTTCAGAATTTGTTTAGTAATTGAGGATAAATTTTGTTTGTAGTAGTTCTACAGTGGTGTCTTTTACATTTGGATTTTTTCTTTTTTCTTATTTTGTATGTAAGTAGGTTCCTTATTTTTTTCCAAGAAAAATCTTATTTTTCCTTGTTTAAAAAATTTTAATTGTCACATAGTGTACTTGTTTATGGGGTACAGTGTGATATTTCTTTACATCATACAGTGTGTAATGATTAGGGTAGTTGGTATATCCGTCACTTCCTGGTGCTAGGTAC